TCTGCAGAGCCCCCGCTCCACAGGTTATGGGTGAGCGTCTCCTTTTCGGAGGTGGACCAGGCTTGATGTGTATTTCTGTTTTTTGCAATCAGCGCAGGCTTACGATATGGGAAACTTGTGGTGTTGCAGGAAGGTCAGCTGCATCGGAACTGCCGGGATTGTTGCATCATGTGAACCAGAGATTCCAAAAGCATCTCAACCAAGCTTGGAACGGAGACTTACCTTTCCGCTAGCTGCTGAGACACCGAGCGCTCAATCATAAAGGGTTAAATGTTGGGTTCAAGTGAGCTGCTCGTAAGGAAGTTCTCGTTGCATCCAGAGTTTACTCCGGACGAGGCTGGTGACAGGGTGTGGTGGTTGAATTTGGGGTTCAGATGAAAGCGGGTTTGCGGGCCTTTGCTCCGTTCTGCTCATATCTAGTGTTGAGAGGCCCCAAGTGAAGATCAGGTCTTTAGACCGTTGCGGGGTTTCAGGATCCCCCTGTCATTGTGGACATTTTTGTTGCTTAGGCAAAGGTTGTTTCGGAGTCTCCGGGCACTCTTCTATCCGAAACCCCACATGAGGGCGGGTGGCAGGCTTTACCTGGAGGACAGGCTTCGTAAGTGGGGCCAGGCCTGGCTATGACCCAAACAAAACTTCGAGATCCGATTCCACGCAGCACTTTGCTCGGCTTGGCTCAAAAAGCCTTTCAAACGATGGCAGTGGCAACCTGTCCACTAAATGAAGGAATGACGCGTCCTCTGGTGGGGTTTGCAAGAGTTTCTTGGCATGCATGGGGGGCCGAGTTTGCAGGAGGATTCGAACAAAATGCCGGTCGGCATTCTTGTTATGAGTGCGTAAATTGATCCCATGATACAAAGCAAGCGGGGTTGCATGTGTGGGGGGAGCAGCAAGGCTTAAGGGGCTTGTTGCTTAGACGTAGGGGTCCGATGCAGAGCAGGCTTGCAGGGGTTTCTCCAGCCAGCATGGTTGCTTCCCCTAGTCAGGCAAGATTCTCTAAGCGGCTGCCACTAGGGTCTAGAGCCTAGAGGATTCCTCAGGAAAGAGCTTTTGGAGTCTTTGTCTGCGTCGATGTGTTAGTTATCAGCACGGTTCCAGATCCATGGCTTGCTGCTTCTCCGCGAAGTCTCCGACGTCTCTGGAGATCTATGCTAGATCGCTGCCCGATGGTGGGCCAACTGCTGCTTTTTTGCGGTGCTTTGTCCGGTTCTTGAAGGCAAGGTGTTAACGCTATCGACTTGAAGCAGGACAGGATGAACAACGCACCGCGCAGGAGAGCTGTCTCCGAACAGCACATGGATTCGTCATTCAGTGAAGTCGTTGGTGCAGCACTGTCCTTTCTGAACGGTTCCGTTGAGGAGGCGGATCTCGGTAATTATCGCGGAGGATCGGCAGAAGGATGCAAAGGATCCTCACTCAGAAGCTGAGTCATTGCCTGCGATAAGGCGATCTGCCTGGGCACTTCACAAGATACTTTCGCGGAAAGGTTCACTGCGGATACGAAGGTTTTTAGACGCCTCCATGTCCTTGTGGCAGCTTATGACTTATGATGGCTTTGCAGCACTTGCTGGCTCAGGTAGAAGTCTCTGTGTTTTAAGCATGGCGGACTTCAAGTTGAAGGTGGATGAATCCAACAAGGCAGCGGACTTCACTGTTCAGCAGAATTGGGGTTTGAAAGGGCCCCCTTGGGGCTGGAGGTGGCCACCAATGTCAACATGTGTGAGAACCAGAAATTTTCACTATGCCGAAGTACAAGAGCCTGAAGACAGGTGTGGAGTACTGCCAGCAGGGCAAGGTGAAGGATGGTGATGAAATCACGGACTGTGTAGCCTCGAGCCTGCCGGCCTGCTGGCCGACAAGACAGAGGTTCTGAAAGGATTGCGAATTCAGCAGCCAGCCGGCACAAGTGGAACGACGAGCCGAAGATGGGCTTTCCGGCGCGGACGTCGGGAGGCAGTCTTCTACAAACACTACGAGGCTACACGGCTGCTTCTGGCAGCAAGGGCCCACTCAGAGCGTGGAGTCACGTCGGGCTCTTCAGTTAGCATCCCTTTCTGCCAATGCAGAGGTACTCGACTGCTCTGCACAGCAGGCGCCGTTCCAATGGCGCGTAACATCTTCGGCACTACCAGCTTGGAGCCTGCCACGTCTTCGGGCCACGCTGTGGAGGAGCTGCTGGCGCAGGTCTGTCATGGATGGTGTGGCCTTCAGGCATGTTTCGGGCTGGATCGACAGAGCTGGTAAAGCGTTTGATGGGTCTTCGTGAGTGTGCCTGGGGACGGCAGGCCTTTCGGCCGGCTCTTCTTTGCCATAAAAGCTTTGCAGCACCGCCTGGGCCGGACAACTGTTCTGACGACCTATGCCTATCGCATGGATTGTAGTACACCGTTCATGCAGGCCCTGAGGACGCCTCAGTTTGAGGTGCCGCAGCAGAGTGGACCTCCGCACCTCCCGGAACGGCCGCACCAGACTTTGTGAAGAGCCAGTCCATACCCCGGTTCAGTAGCTGGGCCTGGAAGGGGACATGTCGGCGTGCCGGAGGGTGTCCTCATTGGCAGTACCTGAGACCTATTGTGGAGGTTCCGTACTAGTAGTCTGCACCATCACATCGACCTTTGTGCTCGGCGGCTGAACAGAATGTGCATGTTACGTTGGTGCTTACGTCGTAAGGAGTCGTAGTGGTTCATACAGGTGAATCTTTTGAGCTTCGACGGCCGTGGCATGGGAAAGCATTCCCGCTTGATAAGGTGCCTGCAAATCCTGTGCAAGGAAAAGGCAAACACGCCATTTACGAGCCATGCCTGGGAATCGATGGTGCCTGCTGTGCATGTCTGAAGTGCAGGTGGAGCATTGGATGCTGCCAAAGGAAGGCGTGGTGTCCTGTTGGGTGCGCCAGGAACTTGGAAACCAGGATTTGAAGACTGTTCGAGTTCGAGTTCTGGGAAGTTAACTGCATGAAAGCTGACATTGTGCCACTGCAAGGTGAGAACGAGAAGGGCGAGGTCACTGACGTCTTTTCGTTCTACAGCCTGCCATCTTCGATTCTGGGCTAGGGGCTGAGGTCTGATGAGATTATGACATGATGGTAACGCGAAGCCAGTGAAGAGGCTGGGAAGATGATGGTTGGGATTTGGATGCCTGAGGCAACCCGAAGCACAACCTGCTCAGAGCAGCCTACTCATACTGGAACGTGGCCACCACAGTGCCGCTGCAGGACGCCCATAGCAATCTGTACGGTTTCTTTGGGTTTCTGGTGGTCGAACCTCCGAAGGGCCATAAGTAGTGAGCCACTGCTTCAGCGGGCTTTGTGCGTTCGTGGCAAATGCCGTCACCGATGCCAGGATTTGATGCTGGATGCTCTCAGCGTGGCAAAGCAGCAGGCGCATGCCCCAGTGGAGAAGATATTCCCAGGAGAGCCATCAGCCAAGAACAGAGTGTACGTACGAGTAGTTGCACGTTCCCACTCTTCCATCGAAGTTCAGTGGCCCAGGGGTTTGATGTCTTCAACGCCCTGGACATTATGGACAACGAGTCTTTCTTGAAGGACTGCTTGCTCCGCTTTCGAAGCACTCAGTCTAACCTTCCCCGTCGCTCAAAAGGCTTTGTGCGGTCAGTAGGGCTTCGAGAGCTATGATGGCCGGTAGAAGCCGGTACAATTTTGGAAGGAAGCATCCTATCAAGACCCCGGAATTCTTTCGACTGAACGCGTTGCTTCGCCCCATGAGCAGCATGGCAAAGCTAAACGTGCTCTGGGCCCTTAGGCATGAAATGTGGGTTTCATGTGAAATGGATGTCATTCGCGCCTCAGCAGAGAGGGACTGGGAGAGATCGCGGCCCAGGGCCCAGGGCCAGGTCAAAATTCCGGTCTTTCTTGTCCAGAAGGTCATCCCATGTAATATGAGGAAGAGGCATAGGCTCATTAGATCTCGAGATCCGACCCGAATGAAACTTCAGATCTCTCCAGCCTCAGCCTCAGCTCCGCCCCCCACAGAAAAGGACTTGAAGTTTGGCATCGGCGATGGGTACCTGCGGCCTGGCACCTGCAGGATCCGAAAGCCTGGTAGTAGTTTCCTTGATAGGACTGATGTGGGAGTTTCCGAAAATTAGGGGTACCTTATTTGGGGGTCCTTATAATAAGGATCCTACTATTTAGGGTACTATATTAGGGTCCCCTATTTTCGGAAACCCCCATGTCTTTGGGTACTGGATCCTGTATCCATCCTTTGGGTGGGAGATTTCGGTGAGGCCTGACATGGACGAGCGTTAAGTTTGCCTTGAGGGCTCTTTTCCAACACAGGCTTCTCCTGTCCTTTCTCATCCAGTGCTCGCTTTCTAGAGCAGCCCTGGGTCACCAAGGCAGTATTACCTCTACAACTGGAAATGCCCCAAGATCGAGCCGCGAAGCGTCGGGCTGGTCCTGCTGTAGGGCCGGAAGGCAGCTGCCGGAGGTTTGCCACCCTTTGTCGGGTTCCACGCCAGGTGTTCAGGAAACGATAATGAGTAATAAGTCTCGCTCGTACTGCGTTCGTGGGGAAGGAAGGTGACATTGGGTTCCGGGCCTTGCTGTGCTTCTAGCTCCACTCTGACCGAGCGTGTGGGAGGTGAGAGTCACTGGGTTCAGGGTTGCCTCGCAGTGTTTGTCGACAGCCTCATGAGGTCTTTGCACGTAGTTTCGCTTCTGCAAGAGCTCGGCGCTTCCGCCAGCCGCAGAAATGCTTTGCCTTGCTGGGCCCCCTCCAAAGTGCGGCAGAGGACATGAGAGCAATCTTCAAAGAGGGGCGGAGGCCAAAGCATATCCTAGGAGGAGTCTCAAGAAACCGCCGGCATGAACGCCAGGTGCCCCAGGGAGTCTGCAGAAAAGAAAAAGTTTTCAGGTCGCAGTTCATGGTTCCGAATCACCCCTTTCACAACGGCTCATGAGGCGTCTTTGCCAGTGCCGCTCGTTATAGTGGGAACAAGCGCAGGTGCAGAGTCCAGGGAACGGGAAAGGCCGGTTGTAGATGCAATCCCTAATCAGATGTGTGTCCAAAACACAAAATCTCATGACTAGTTGCACCCGCCGTGGCCTCTGCTGGCTCAGCCTCTCAGCACGCACGTCGCTCTGGAAATTCCAGTATTGTCCATATCTCAGATGGTCCTATGCCTGCGCAGACTGGACTTCATGGGCTGCACTTAGGTTGGAGGCCGGGCGTGTCTATCCGAAATGCAGAGGTTTTCGAGTCTTCAAGCCTAAACCCTCAACCGTAAAGCCCGAAAGACTTGTAGAACTTTAAGAACCCTCCCAGAACCCTTCTAGAACTCTCTAGAGCCGAAAACCTTTCAGCCGACAGGGTGACAAGTCTCCATCACAGACGTTGAGGTTCGACTCCGAAGCTGCCTACTAAAGGACGATGAAGAAACAACCGACAGAGACGGGCAAAATGTCAAACACCTTGTTTGATGGGATGAGCTTCTCGAAGCAAGGCTTTCTTTCCTCATGCCGGCACTATTTTGCGGAGGAGTCCAGGGGTTTCGCGTGTTATTCCGTGGTGATCAGGGGATGTTTCATCTGCACGGTAACTCCAGTCAGAATCCCCTCGCCTGCAGCCTCTTTGGCTTAAGAAGTCAGTGCTTTCTGAGTGCCCTTGGTGGTCTAGCTGCCATGGCAAAGATACTGTTGCTGTCGCTGTGTGTGGTATCGGCTTCGGCTGATCTTACGGGGGAGATTTCGAACTATACGGCTCAGCATGAACACGAGCAGGGCAAGAGTCCGTCTGCTCCGGAGTGTGGCCCGTCATTCTGATTCGACAAGCAAACGGCAAATTGTTTCCAA